TTGGTTTTAAAAGCCTTGATGTTTATTCCTTTTAAGTAATGTCCCAAAAGCTGATTTCTTTCCATTCTTTCTTTATCTTTTCTCAGAAACTCCTTTATAACACATTTCTTTTGTTAAGTCCAAAATAAGAAAGTTGTCCAAGTCACACTTCTGTGTTGAAATCCACACGTCCAAGTCATTGTTCTGATTTATTATTTATATGTCCCTTTTAGCTATTAAAACATCAGCCAGTTTCATTTGTAAGTCCTGTGTAGCATCTTTGTCAATATCATTCTTGTATTATATCATTTTTAAAACCATATCCAAAACAGCCTGATTCTCAGTTGTATCCTATCTCCTCTTTAAAACCCATTTTTATAGTATCAGACAATCTTAAGAGAAAGCTCTGAGTACATTGTTGCTAAATATCCTTGAAATCTTCTGGAGTTAAAATACTTTTCTCCATTCTGTATTAGTTGGTTTTCTCCTTTCACTGTAATCTTTGGTTCTTTCTGGTTGCTTTTAGTAACCAGCCTTCAAGGTCTCCTTTTAACATGTTTTTCTCTAATCCACACCATTTTCCCATGGAAAGATTTATTACACTTAACTTAAAGATCTTCATATATTTTAATAGGATTTTAAACAAATTGCAGGAAGGATTCTTATAGTTAATTTCAAAATCTTATTTCTATTCAATTTAGCCCCTTAGTCGGCTTTCAACTTTCCAAAATCAACATTCTAATCACCCTTTCGCTGCTTATTTCCAAATATTTTTTTTCTTTAAGTTCTTAAACTTACACGAAACTTCTTTCACTGAGGATTGAAGGAAAATCACCCAATGAAATAAAACTTGTCTTTTGAAGGTTCTTAGTATCCAAAAAGCAATTTACAAGCCATTTGCAGAAGTGATTAAGAAAGGAAGTGGGCAAACCCAGCGTCTCCTTGAAGGCTCCAAACTGTAGCTTGGGCAAGTTGACTTGCCCAGTTCCCAGAGCTCTAAAACCTATTGGACAGCCTCATGGGGAGATTCTGTAAGGAGCCCTACGGGCAATCCCAAGTCCTCCCTTTTGTCCGGGGAGGAATTTTGAGGTGCCGATCATCGTTCTTCTGCAGTTGTCGGCTCTGCTGAAAGTGAAGCTGTCTTCAGTTCACCATTGCTTCCCAAGAAGTCCCTCCTCCATCTCCTTTTTGATAATTATTTATTCTCTTCCAGTCTTCTGGAACCTCACTCCTCTCATTCCTCCAGCATGAGAAACATCCACTAACCAAATTCTGAGCACATGTTTGCATGCCTCCACCTGCATCTTGATGTCTGCCTGGTTAGCAAGATGACACCACCTGTAGCTTTAAATGCTACACTTTGAAACTAATTTTTTCCTAATATTCTGCCTCAAGACACTGTGTGTAGGCAATGTAGGGTATGTTGATGTGCACCGGGGAAGAGGCCTGAAATGACATGTTCCATGCCAATAATGTTGTGCTTCCAATTGGTTCTGGCAATTTCCTGTGGGACTCACCCCATTCAGTTTGGTTCCTGACATCTTCACCCACTCCCTTGGGTCCTCTTCTGGCTACAAGGGAGACTGGAACTCCAACTTCCACAGACACTTTTTTCTGCATTTTTATTGGGTTATTTGAATTCTTAAGTATTTTTCCGTTAATAAGACCCCCCCATTCCGTTAATAAGACAACCCCCACTTTCCCAACCCAAAATTAAGAAATCAATATTTTGCAATAAGCAGAACACATTTTTATTTAGTAATTAG